GATGATAAAAACCGGGTCATGAAAAGGCAACTCTGGCAGCTTCCGGGTCGATTGCTGATAAAGACCGGGTCATGAAAAGGCAACTCTGACAGCTTCCGGGTCGATTGCTGGCGCCATTGTGTGTCGGGCTGTGCTGAGTCCTCTTGGTGGTTGAAGAACACGATTAAACCTACATCGTGTAGTTTGTCCGCCATGTTTTTCTGCACTCTTTACCGAAATTTGACCTTAATCCATGAATTTGTCACAAAACCATTGGATCCATGGCTGCGGTTCGTGTGTGCAAGCTCACACACATCGACCAACGACTCTGATAGTGTAATTGTCCGCTTTTTCTCAATCAAATATCATTGGTCTCGTCCTTGTAACCAGTGTCAACGAGACCGGAAGCTGGTCGTCTGCCGTCCTGCCTTTTCGTAATCAGTAATGTTAATGTTATTGATCGGAGGTGGAAAGTAAATTTGAGCAATATTGCAATGTTGCAGGGCGACAATATCTAGCCAAACAGCCTGCGCGCAGTTCCAAGGAAGCATTTAAACGCAACTTTCGCACGACTTGGCCATTTGTCGCTAGAAACTAAATGGCCATGCTTCTAATGGTAAGAGAGGTATAAGCTTGTCTAAGCCGTGGCTAGGCCGGCCGGGCTGCTGGAGCCACAAAGCTTCTGTTTACCTGACCCTGAGTGGACCTCACGCTGTGGTTTAAAGCCTTAAAAACGTTCCATAATCGGTATCTCCGCGAGTGTAAGTCATCCACAGGCATTCTAGCGCTGATGAAGCTGCTGTCCTTCACCAGCAGGGTCGCTGAGTTAGGCTAGATCTGCCAGCTTAAGATGACGCGGCCAAACCTCGGAGGGGAGGGCATCCATGGCGTGAGAGCCACGAGCCACGAGCTTAGAGCCATGGGCCATGAGCCACGAGTTAAAACCATGAGCTATAAGCCACGAGTTAAAACTATGAGCTATGAGCCACGTATTAGAGCCATGAGCCATGAGCCACGAGCGACGAGCCACGAGCTAGAACCATGAGCCATGAGCTATGAGTTAGCGATGAGAGTTGCCGCCAACAGGGGCCTGTTCGTAGCCTTCGTGAAGAACGCTATGACAAGAAATCAGGGGATCGTCAGCTTACCTTTCTCTTTCCAAAGCTCGTTTCGCTGTTTTTGTTTTGTTTGTTGTTTCAACACGCTAACGCCTCACCTGTGTTCGCTCACACCAAACGTGACAGTCATCGAGTTGGCGCCGAGATCCTGTGCATGACATCGCTGCTAAGAGTGTATGTCAATAGACACAGCCGAGGTCAAACACTACTATTGCGGCGAAGACCGTGTACTTCGGCGAAGTCCGTGAGCGTGGAAGGTCTAGGTCGTCGTAAGGGGAGACGGAGTGCCTTCCACGAGCCTTTGTTTCCTTCAATGGCCCGCGCAGTTTTGCGCATCAGAAACGGTCAGGGAATTGCGAGGTCTCGAAGAAGGCGCGCTGGCCCGCGCTTTTCTGCTCCCGTTGTGTTGCAGCTACATCGTGTGACAGAATTATCTCAATTGCTAAAGCGGTGGAGGCGCCGGCTCGGTCAGCATCCGTTATGGAAGAATCTGACCGCTACGCACGAAAATTGTGCTGTCGATATAATCCCGAGACGAATGCCAGTTTGTTGTGTGTTAAGCCCCAAATGCTCATCTGATGCATTATGAAAATAGTGTCATACGGATAGGTTGTGCATGCGAGACTGCAAAGCCACTCTGTCTCTTGCCTCCATGGTCTAGAGGAAGATACAAGGCAAGGCTAAGTGGGCGCGTGACCCCGTGACCTAGATACAAGGCTCAAGTCAACCCGGCGTCGGGCGTGCGTGTCACAGCGTCGTACAACAAGACTTTCGAGTCATGCTTCGAGATACATCACACACCCCTCACAGTCGCGTCTGGTCGCAGACAAAACTATCTGACTGACCGGTCTGTGTTTTGGCAAACTCAGCGCTTGGGGAGCTGGGAGGGCAGAGCATCTCTCATGTAGCTTTATGGATGATTGGGATGATATATTAATACCTCCGATGGTGTAATTGTTTTGGCTATCGTCTTCGTATGGTGTGTTAATATGCACACAACTTTTATCAAATCGATTCTTATATCGTGTCAAATGTTGTTGAGTACTGAGGGAAACCGGACGGCGTTTGGCTTTCAGCCAGATAATTCGGAGCAAAGTGCTTGGAAAATTTTCAAGGAGATAACTCGAATTATGATAGGCCGTATGTGGTTGAAAGCATTCACCATCCAGGCCTTCTCAGGACTCAATAACAACTGACGAGGTCAGATAGCAAACTGACCCAAACGTTGGATAAAGACCAACACGCAAGACGAGGCCGGCGGTCCGAAAGATTGTTCCGTCCTCGAGCCCTCATACGTTGGCCCCTAGTTGCCGGCCTGTTCTCTCCGGTGACCGTTTACCATCCGACCGACTTTCTTCTGGGCAACAAGTGTCTTTCTATGGCTCCTTGCTTGCCCGAAAAGATGCTCTCGTCAACGTGACAGATGACCTTACTGGTCAGCAGACAGACCTTACAGGCAAGACCTTGCAGGCAAGCTGGAGGGAAGTTCAGGGGCACCTGCTAGTCGTAAGGGGCTCTTTATTCAGGGTGAGCCCCTACCGGTCCATAAAGGGTCACTGTCGGCCCCTGAAGGGTTCTCCTGACCGTGTATAGGCTCCTGCCTGGCAGCAAAATATGAAGAGGTGAAGATAAAGATACACCCTGCTGGCTCGTAAAAAAGTCCACAGCGGTGGCAAGGATCCCGGCTTGCCTATAACGATACTCCTGCTGACCTGATGGCATTTACAGATTGCCATCAGCGGTGGGGCATTTACATTTATTATTATTTACATTTACATTATTTATTATTAGGTGGCATTTACAGGTTGGTCCGGGGAATTTTTACAAGCGAGACTGGGACAACTCGGACAAGGGCAGCGGTAAGATCATCTAGACTCCAGCGGGTTTATTTGCAATTCGATTGGAGTCTGTGGTGGTCAGCAGGGCCGCCACAGACACTTTTCCACTCTTCGCCATTCTTACTGGCCGAAGAATGCCCTTCCGAAGGACATCAACGGCTTTTTAGGTCATTAGGGCCATATTAAGACTCGTAACGGGCCCTTTACAGCTAGCGTAAACGGTCCATTACAGTTAGCAAAAAGGAACTCAAAAGAGTAAAGAATTGCGTATCAGCAACTCTGTCTCTGTCTCTGTCTCTGTCCTGTTTTTCTCTGTCTGTCCGTCTGTCTCTCTCTCCCTCTCTCTCTCTCTCTCTCTTCTCTCTCTCTCTCTCTCTCTCTCTCTCTCTCTCTCTCTCTCTCTCTCTCTCTCTCTCTCTCTCTCTCTCTCTCTCTCTCTCTCTCTCTCTCTCTCTCTCTCTCTCTCTCTCGCTTTCTCTCTCTCCTTCCATTTTCTACTCCTTTGGTACGCCCTGTATAAGCCAAAACATATTTCCTTCTCAAATTTCTTGTTCGTTACAACACCGCGAGAAGCCCTCTTCATCTGATTCCGCTCACCTCATCCCCTGTGCCTAATGAACACGCTCATTATTACCTATCCCAAATGGACACTAACGCGATCACCTGCGCATGTGAACGCCCGACACCGCAGCGTTCGCGGGCTAGCGGCGCGCAGGGTAGCGGCGCGAGCGAACAGTGCTCACCTGGCCACCTCCATCTCTGACGGGAGCCCGTGCCGAAGCGGAGGAGCCGTCGCCGCGCAAGCTGACGCCTCAGCGCAGCGCAGTGGCGCAGCGCAGAACGCCACGCGCAGCCGAGACGAGCGTCAGCGCCTCGTGGAGGACACGCGGCAGCATCGTCCGCTTCGCGTCAATTTTTCCGATGCGATCACAGACAGCGCAACCGCTTCCCGAAATCACTTAGCCGCTGAAAGCCGGCGATTGCTTCCTCCAACAACACCGCTACTGCCCAGCACACCGCAGCGGGCCCCCTAACACTGTGCGGTAGCGCCTGTGCTGTGTGTAGCAGCTCCGTTCGCGGGATGCCCAGCGCTGTGCCGGCCTTGACAGTGACTGCGGGAGCACCACTGAGGCGGACGAGCGCGCTGTGGCGGTGAACACCGATGGTGGCGACCAAAACACCGGGCGCGAGGAGCACGTTTCTGAGCGGCTGGGTCGTACGTGACGCGTTCCTCCTCCTCCTCCCCCCCCCCCCCTGCGACGCTGCCGGGCCGAGGGGGATCCTCGCAGGCCACCGCCGGCGGGGGGGGGGGGGGGTAGACCAAGGCCGCACGACGAGGTAAAACAGTCGGCAGCCGGAAAGGGCGACAAAGCGCGGCATAGGGACGCCGAGGTGACAAAATTGTGGTTTGACATTAATTAAACGGCTTTTTATTAACCAAATGTCGTGTTGTTACCGAACCGAAGCTTAAGCGAGTGGCAAAAACCGCACATGATATTTGTCAAACGACCAACAAGACCAACAACATGATCTTGTTCGGCATCACAACCATGTCCCAAAAATTGATTTGAAATGTCCGCAATGACCAAGCGTTAAGACTCTCGAGCATACAAACTAATGATTAAAACCTACTGGAGCGTTCCCCAAAAAGAACATCACAACCTTCGCTGGGAATAACATGCCTGTAAGTGGCTGAGCTGGTCTGCAGTTCAGACCAGTTGTTGCGTCTCAGCTGATTCCGAATTTTCGAGGGGCTAACAGACAGCCGGCTAAATAGCTAACAGTCAGCCGGCTAACAGGCTAAAAGTCAGCCGGCTGATGCTAACGGCCAGTCGGCTAACAGCCTAGCAGTCAGTCGGAGACGCCTAGAGCGCCAGTGCGCGACTACTTCATAACAGATGCTATTGTTTTGCTGGCCATACACACACATAAACGCAACGAATAACTTGTGTGCTTACTGGATTGAGCAATGTACTGGCAGGGGTCCTTGCTAAAGCCGCTTTCCGAAGGTGCTGCCCGTACAGCGCCACTGATTTACGGAAGCCCGCAAAAAAGAGCTGCGGTAGCTAGTGACGCTGTATCGCGATTTAACTTCTACACAACAAGCATCTATCATTCGCCCATTTCACACCTCGGTTGCGCCCTGACTTCCAGTGAAAGACACAGATTAGCGCGCGCCATTGGTGTTGGCTGGCGAAGGCTGCTGCTGTGTGGTGACTTGTGCCCAGGCGCAGAACCGCACGTTAGTCAGCAAAACATTGCAGGCATTCGGCGTGGGTTCCGAGTCCGAGGCGTGGAACCAAACCGTCCCGTCATGTTGTGTGTGTGTTTTCTGTTACCGGGCGCTACAAGAAGAGGTTTTCTCCGGACCGCCGGGTCGTCGGCAGTGGTTCCCAAACTCTTGTTGGGATGTACGGAGTGCTGGGCTGGGAGGCTCGGACTTATTTGTCTGGCAGAGTGACCTGAACGGAAGGACATTGCGGAAATACGACAGCGATGATTCGCAGGCACGTAGATGAAATTTGCGTGGTAAGGGATGCCATATCAAATTTATTTGGGATCCCGCGAATTTGGGCCAAATTTCTGCAACACCACCCAGTATTTAGTGTGTACCTTTTGGCTCAGGCGGGAGGGAGTGGGGGGCCCGGCCCCTTGTCCCCCCCTTGGTCATGTCCCTGTTAGTTTGCGCCAGTGGCAACAGGGCCTTACCTGTTGTTGCTCCATACGCAGCAATGCTTTCCAGTGACCGATCTGCAAAACATTCCGAAAAGTAGAAGTTATTCGCAAGACATTGCGCATTAATAATTAATTTGTGAGCCTACAACTGACGAGTTAGCGATCAAAATAAACATAGTGCCGGTTTGTGAACACTTGCGCATCCATAGATATGGAACACATCTAATTTTAGTATCCTTCGTTTGATGCGTTGCATCCGAGGTACAACGTCGTGCAAGCCTATATTACAGCAATGTAACAACTACTTACAGAACTTAACCGTAATGATACGGACAACACGCAGCAGTCAATTAATATACTAAGTCTGCCGCCGAAACTATAGGCAGCAGCGCATCCCCTCGTGACATTGCAAGGCTGAGGACGGCACCTTCTATGCCTGGTAAAAGAACAAACATTTGGAACCTCACAGGTTGCAAGTAGTGGGTTATGGTACACGCAGACAAATCTGCTTAGGGGAAACCGCCACCCCAAACATACTCGAGCCGCACATAGCTGAAAACCATCTCTGCCTGGTTATGTTACACCGCTCGAGGTGTCTCCGACCTCCGGCGGAACTCACCGACTTCCGGTCGGCTGTGCCTCCACTGGCGCAGCTTCCACGACTTGACTCTGGAGCGGTGGACCACCGAGTTATGGCCCGCTGTAGAGGACGGACGTCGGCTCCACCAGAGGCCGGGTGGCTCCTCAGCAGGCGGCTGGAGGAGCGTGTTGCCCCTCGACGAAAGAACGGTGCTCTCCACGAACATGGCGGCTCGTTTCTGCCAGGTGGAGGGCCATGTGAAGCGTGGTAGAACAGGAAGAACATGAAGAGGTCTACTGGACGGGTCCAACAATGGTGCTCGTAACAATCAATCGTTTCGACGCAGTGGCTAGGGCGGAAGGCACCCCTTCCCCCTCACCCCGGTTCACCAGCAACGTGCAATGATGGAAATCCGACCAATAAAAAAAAAAACGCCCTCGGGTATGAGAGTATGGGTGTTCATGACAACGAACTTCTAATATCCGAGCAACAATCGGTGTTTACATGGTTCAGAGCGCAGAAAGCTGTCGTTATCGATGCACGCACATGCTACAGGTATTTGTGTCATAGATTACGGTTGGTATTATAATTGATTTAATAAAATGCTGGCACTGAAGCCCTTGTGCTACATAAGTACACCAAATATTTGTGGCCATCCTAGAACCATATAAAAACAAAAACAGATCGCATTTGCGCAAGTCAACGTTTTTCAGTAATAACTGCTGTGAGCGGTTTCCTTGCTTCCATCGACAGCTTACATCCGCACTTGGGAAACATTTTGCACTTTACGCCCCAATTTTGCGTGCGTGTGGCATGGACTAGCATACAGGTTTTGAGGAGTTGGTATGAAATGTTGTTTCACCTTCTCAAAAATATTTTTCCTCCGTTGTTTCATTTAATTTTGCCCTGTTTCAGCTTGGCGTGTGTCGGAATTATCCTCGATGTCATGGGCAAGAAATTTAATATATCTGACGCCTTCATGATTAAAGAAGGAACGACAACCATAGGCCTCGTGACATATGCTAAATTGAAGAAAATTAAAACAGATCAGACGTTTCCTCGTTTTGTTTTCTCCAGTGCCTTGCCTTCCAACACCGAAGAAGCCGCGGTAGTGAAACGTTGTTCAGTTTTTTTGCTGTTGTTTGGGACTATTTTAATGTGTACTACGAGACTTGTCGTTATCACCCTTTCTAGAATCAGTTAAGTTTCAGCTTTATGCGCAACGGACTTTCGCCTTTCATTGATATACATGAAAGTGACACCCTTACGATAAAAAACTAGGTTTAGTTGCTTGTTAGGATGCATTTTGAACAAACAGAAATCAACTTCGTCAAACGTGGATGGATTCGTTACTCCACCGGTTGTAAATGAAGCTTTGTGTTTGAGGACAAAACGACTGGTCAGAGTCTAATCTTGATCTTTGGGCAGCATGGAAAATAAACGCTCTCTGCAAAACAATCGGGAGCCATTATGTCCGCCACGTTCGAGGAGTAGGGCCATTTTTACAACCTGTTTATTCGTCCTGTAAGCGATTTTGTAATGTACACATACAAGATTGGAGAGGGAAACGCCTAACGTGTGTGTACCGTAAAGTTTAATGTGAATGATGCGTGAGAGCAAAGGTGAACGTATATTGTATGCTGGCGAACTAAAAATTCCCGCTCGGCTAAGTATTAACAAGCAAGTCCAAGACACCAAAACACCCAATAATCCTGAAGGCGGAGGCATTCCTTCTGCACACGGAAGCTACGACATCTGGTGTGATGAAAAACCTTTGGTTGTTAAGGTCTCGCAAACAACCAAACAGCACCCTGAAAGCAAAATGTGTCCCTTATTTTAATAAAGCACCTTGCATATAGCGGTCGTCGGTGCTGTCGCTGAAACAGCTTTGGTGAAATAATGTGGAACTTTACGACACCATACAGGAGCATTTTCACCCGCATGGATCTCACACACTCGCATATAGGTACCACCCCTACAATAATTAAAACCATGTATAAGGCACAATTGATTTGATTGCTAACAGTGGCCTCAAAAATGGCAAAAATGGTAGACACAACACATGCCAGACGCAAGATTGCAGTTTTTCTAATTGCCGAGATGGTCTTCGACGATGACCTACGAAACAGCAACGCGTATCCAACAATCAAAACAGCAAAAGTTCAAATTCTCCGGAACAGAAACCGCGAGGGATAATTTGCCATTACGTATCATTTATCGTACATGTTTGGCTCATCTTGAAAGGAATGGACAGAAGCACATCTGCAATACTGCAGCCATCTTTGGCAATGCCGTGCTGCGGAACTGCAAGCTATCAGGCAACGGACGTCTGCGGTGGTCGGCGCCTTTCGATTCGTCCCATTCCCACCTTTCTCTGAGAGCACAATAGCCACAGTCTGCTCTCACTTCTGGGGTTCGCCACGTGCCGAGAGACCTTCTCCTCGCCAGCAGCAGCACCTTCACCTTCACCGCCGTCACCTTCACCTTCACCACCGCCGCTACCTTCACCTTCACCTCCGCCGCCCCCTTCACCTCCCCACCGCCTGACGCCGCTGGCTTCGCTCGCCATGCATATCGGCGCTGAGAGCACGAGTCACGTGGTCGGGCCCGCCTCTCATCCCGTGACGCGCCGCGCCCAGGTGACCGTCACGTGACTCGTCGGCCAGCGCACCGGTAGCGCCCGTTTTCCTTGTAGCGCTGCGTCTCATGTTCGCGCGGATGTGACCGTCTGGAATGTTCATTAGAGCAAACAATTGCTGTCGCAACGCTACTGCGATGTTGCCGATTGCGATTGGGGAACGTGTGCAGAACGAATCAAGCCCGGAGTAAACATGAGCAGCTTTGTCTACGGAAATTGTCACAGCCGATGAGGTCACTGGGTTCGGATGTTTTGGAAATCCTGACGCAAGTTGCGTGCGAAAGGTCGTAGGACATGGTCATCGTTTTTAGCGCCGTGGCTACCAGCTTTGACAACTTTCCGCAGGTCACAAGATGCAGCGTGGAATGGGGCTGATATGTTAAAGGAGTGTCCCACCTTTGGGGATCATTTTAAAAACATATTCAAGTGAAACCTGAGGACTAGTCATGTCTAATAATAGCACTAGGCGGTGGCACTGCAACACCATCAAAACATAAACAGGGATATAAATTTTAATTGTTTTGAGCCCAAATTACGATGTCAGCTCGAAATATAAATTATTATCAAAATTTTGGGCTTTTCAGAAATGTTTTGGAAAAACTGGTACCACTGATCAAATTGTACGCGTATGAGGTAAAAACAAATGCAAAAGTCCAAAACCTGTGAGATGCCGCCTTTCAAGAGAATGTGCCACATCTCAAGGCAATGGAACAAGCATTAGATATGACGAAATAGACTCACTCATAACTATTGGTAAGAACAGGGGTGCGATTTGATGATGATCAGTACATGGTGATCGGCGTATGGCCAGTGGAATGGCAGGATTCGAATGGCGTTGTTGTGGTGTCATGAATGCATGGGTGACCTTGAAATAGTACGCACGAAGGGTCTGTACATCTTCACGGGCATGTAGCTCAGGAACTAGATAGGTCTAGCCCTTGAGAAGAAGGGTAAGGTGTGTGAGCTGCACCGAATAATCCTCAAGATGGCTTTTTCAGTTCAATCCCCAATACAGATGTGGGGACTGCCTTTAAATGTGCTCGTCACTGGTAGTGTGCAGCGATTACCATGTGCTCCCGTGTCACATCACCGTGCGTCTCACGCCAAAACGGTCCAAGTGCCCGTAGGTCTGTTTTCTGAACACTATTCGAGGTCAGATCAGGACCCTTATCTTGACAGTGCACCAGATAATACCCTCCTAATACATGTGCTATAAAAGACGAGGACTGGAGGACCTAAGCTCATTGAACTTTGCTGGTCTTTTAGTGTAAAAATTGCCTTAAAGGCAAGCAGCGACACCGCCAGGTCTAAGAGTAGGTGGTGACAACCAGCTGCGCGTTCAGTTTGACTGTGCGTTACCTGTAATTCAGACCTTTGCTCTGACGAACAGTCAAAACTACATGCTGTTTCACTTCAAATGACACTCTTAAAAGTGCCAGGCGTGAAAGAAAAGGCTAGGTTAGGTTATGTTAGGTTAGGCCAGGTTAGGTTAGGTTAGGTTAGGGTTAGGTTAGTTAGGATAGGTCAGTTTGGGGTTGGGGTTGGGTTAGGTTGGCTGGGGTGGGGCTGGTTTAGGTTAGGTTAGGTGAGGCTACGTTAAGTTATGTAAATAATTGTTTTTGCTGTTTTTTATTTTTTGTTCAGCGTGATAGGAATATGAAACAACTGATATTTTCTTTCTTCGAACAGCTATATGATCCCATATTCCCGTAATCTCGATTTTCCCTCTTCCAGTACGCCCCCACTACTTCTTGCCCAGCATTTCCACAGTCGCCTGCACCTCAATCTGAGCCCAATCCGTAACCCAAAACGCTTCTCGCTCCTTTCCACGCAGCCTATAAACCCTGTTTAATCCTGTATACACCAAGTGCTGTGGGGCATCGAAAGGCGCCCACCAGACCGCACATGTGGCACCAGGCTTGGAGGTGCCTAAGGTATGGTGGAGAGTTAGCCTCGAGCAGGCCGGCCTGTTTGGCGATACTCACCAGTGCTATTGCCACCGGTCGGAATTTTGCCATGTACTAACTGCCCTGCTGTCGAGGTCCTTCGCCGCTTTTTTCGCTGTCGGGGATAGCAAATTCAGTCGAAGATCAGGCTTAACCGTCAGGCCTTGCAAGACCCGGGGGTGGAAGAAGACTGCTATTGTGATTGAACTATCCCATTATGTAGGACTGGTGTATCTGGTTTCTTCACATCAACACTTATTCTGGCATTAGTTGAGCGACATTGTAAAAATGAATGCTTCGGTTGTGTGCATGACACTTCAAGTTGCGGTGAAGAAAGAGGCTTTCGGTGATACGCCGATTCCTGATGCGCTACTGGGCATGAACGTCATTGCCATTCGTGGCATCGCGTCACGCTGTTAGCGACAATTTTGTTCGCAGAAGTTCGGTCGGCGAAAGGAAAAACACTTGTTTACCCCGGGCACCCTTCCCGGTGCCCGGGGTAAAATCCCGTGAACGAAGTACATGCCTTGCGCGCTAGGTATGTCCAGC